TACTGCATTCCCTTCATCTACCAAGCTGGTAATTTTATCAAAAAAAGATTTTAAAAGACAAAAAAAAAGTTTAATCTGTTATGACTTGTTTTTGAGAAACCCATGATGACTTTTAGTGGTTATGGTATTCCCTTCTAAATGTTCACAGACTCTCTGTTTAATGATCTGCTCTAGAATCTTTCCCAGTATTGTTGTCAGACTAACTGGGCAATAGTTGTTGGGATCCTCTTTTTCCCCCTTTCTGAAGATAGGGGCAATGTTTGCCCTCCCCCAGTCTGCTGGGACTTCTCCTGTTCTCAAAGATTATTACCAGTGGCTCTGAGATTACATTTGCCAGTTCTTTTAATATCCTTGGATGTAGTTCATCTGGTCATGGAGACTAAAATTCATTTAGGTTAACCAGGTATTCCTGTACCTCCTCTTTACTGATTCTGTGCTGCATTTCCCCTATTGTGTCCTCTGCTCCATTTTCCTCAGGTTGAACACCCTTTTCCTTTTGTGAAAAGACTGAGGCAAAGAAGGTGTTGAGTAGTTCTGCCTTTTCTCTGTCCCCTGTTAGAATTTCTCCAACTTCTCTGCGCAGTGGCCTTATCATTTCCTTCTTCTTTCTTCTGCTACAGACATACCCAAAGAAGCCCTTTTTATTGTCCTTAACTCCTCTAACAAGCCTGAGCTCATTCTGTGCTTTCTAACTTTCATTCCTGACTTTACCATACATGTGCTAACTATTTGTTTGAATTCGTCTTTAGTGATTTCACTCCTTTTCTCTTTCTTATACATCTCTTGTTTAAAACTTAGTTCAGTTGAAAGTTCTTTTGTCATCCAACTCAGTTTGTTGAGACATCTCCCATTTTTCCTTCTCATTGGAACAGTTTGAAATTGTGCCTTCAGTATCTCCCTTTTGAGAAACTCCCATCCATACTGAACTCCCTTCTCCCTTAGTATTCCTGACCATGGGACCACTCCCAGTGTTTCCCTAAGTTTGTTGAAATCAGCTCTCCTAAAGTCTAGAATGAGTGTTTGACTATGCCTAGCTTCTCCTTTCCACTGTATAAGAAACTCCAGGAGAACATGATCACTCCCACCTAAGGATCCCACCACTTGCACCCCATTGACCAGGTCATCCCTGTTGGTTAGGATCAGATCTAAAATAGCTGATCCCTTTGTTGCTTCTTCCACCATTTGGGCAAAGAAATTCTCTTTGAGGCAAGTGAGGAATTTGCTAGACCTTGAAG